AAGAAATACAGAGCTGCATCTCTTAAGTTTTCTAATATAATTTTCTTATTTGGGTTTAATTTATTTAAACACTAATGCCAACCATATGAATGAGACTGAACCCACACTTTCCTAATAGTAAGGCGCATTGTTTGGCTGTAGCCTGGATGAGAATATTGAGTGTTGATGTTAAATTGGGAGCAGGTCATCTAAACCCCATTATAATGATTCCAAGTTGCAGGCAAGGGTGGACTTGAACGTCACCCATACTTGTGACAGTTATTGATTCTGGAATTGTATGGCGAATTATTGACATGAATATCTGTTGGTATTTTTATCTTATGTAAGAGATTTGAGTGGTATAAATGTATGAAGGAATGTTTAGGTGTTCTATATGTAAATACATAAGAAGTGTTCTTAAATGCTAGCTTTGATCCAACAGCATACCCTTCTGTAGGGCAGCCCGGTTTCATCAATTGAACAACACAGATCTTCTGTAAATATCTGCAATGAAATTTCACAAGCAATAATCTGCAACGCAGTTCCCTTCTCTTCGAATTTAGAACAGCAATGTAGAAAGTATTTGAAGTTTTTTCATATGCTTTATTTGGATCCATGATGGTTGCAATGATTGATATCTACTTGTTATTTATCAATTTTTGATGTGATTCTGTTATGAAGAATATTAATATGAACCGAATATGCGCTCATTTGTAGATAATCTTAAGTTATCTAATGCAGATATAAAATGCTTGGAATGCAGGCTTTAATGTTAAAATAAGGTAGTTATCTAATGTTAAAATAAGGTATTAAATTTGATTATGTGGTTAGCAGCATATAAAATGCTTGGAATGCAGGCTTTAATGTTAAAATAAGGTAGTTATCTAATGTTAAAATAAGGTATTAAATTTGATTATGTGGTTAGCAGCATATAAAATGCTTGGAATGCAGGCTTTAATGTTAAAATAAGGTAGTTATCTAATGTTAAAATAAGGTATTAAATTTGATTATGTGGTTAGCAGCATATAAAATGCTTGGAATGCAGGCTTTAATGTTAAAATAAGGTAGTTATCTAATGTTAAAATAAGGTATTAAATTTGATTATGTGGTTAGCAGCATATAAAATGCTTGGAATGCAGGCTTTAATGTTAAAATAAGGTAGTTATCTAATGTTAAAATAAGGTATTAAATTTGATTATGTGGTTAGCAGCATATAAAATGCTTGGAATGCAGGCTTTAATGTTAAAATAAGGTAGTTATCTAATGTTAAAATAAGGTATTAAATTTGATTATGTGGTTAGCAGCATATAAAATGCTTGGAATGCAGGCTTTAATGTTAAAATAAGGTAGTTATCTAATGTTAAAATAAGGTATTAAATTTGATTATGTGGTTAGCAGCATATAAAATGCTTGGAATGCAGGCTTTAATGTTAAAATAAGGTAGTTATCTAATGTTAAAATAAGGTATTAAATTTGATTATGTGGTTAGCAGCATATAAAATGCTTGGAATGCAGGCTTTAATGTTAAAATAAGGTAGTTATCTAATGTTAAAATAAGGTATTAAATTTGATTATGTGGTTAGCAGCATATAAAATGCTTGGAATGCAGGCTTTAATGTTAAAATAAGGTAGTTATCTAATGTTAAAATAAGGTATTAAATTTGATTATGTGGTTAGCAGCATATAAAATGCTTGGAATGCAGGCTTTAATGTTAAAATAAGGTAGTTATCTAATGTTAAAATAAGGTATTAAATTTGATTATGTGGTTAGCAGCATATAAAATGCTTGGAATGCAGGCTTTAATGTTAAAATAAGGTAGTTATCTAATGTTAAAATAAGGTATTAAATTTGATTATGTGGTTAGCAGCATATAAAATGCTTGGAATGCAGGCTTTAATGTTAAAATAAGGTAGTTATCTAATGTTAAAATAAGGTATTAAATTTGATTATGTGGTTAGCAGCATATAAAATGCTTGGAATGCAGGCTTTAATGTTAAAATAAGGTAGTTATCTAATGTTAAAATAAGGTATTAAATTTGATTATGTGGTTAGCAGCATATAAAATGCTTGGAATGCAGGCTTTAATGTTAAAATAAGGTAGTTATCTAATGTTAAAATAAGGTATTAAATTTGATTATGTGGTTAGCAGCATATAAAATGCTTGGAATGCAGGCTTTAATGTTAAAATAAGGTAGTTATCTAATGTTAAAATAAGGTATTAAATTTGATTATGTGGTTAGCAGCATATAAAATGCTTGGAATGCAGGCTTTAATGTTAAAATAAGGTAGTTATCTAATGTTAAAATAAGGTATTAAATTTGATTATGTGGTTAGCAGCATATAAAATGCTTGGAATGCAGGCTTTAATGTTAAAATAAGGTAGTTATCTAATGTTAAAATAAGGTATTAAATTTGATTATGTGGTTAGCAGCATATAAAATGCTTGGAATGCAGGCCCCCGACAGTTATTTGTATTAAATTTATATAAGTTTTATCCCTTTTAAGCGCCGACAGTTATTTGTATTAAATTTATATAAGTTTTAAAGAACATATAGTAGGAACTGCACAAATTTTTGGGGCTAAAATTTAGATACAAAATTCAATTACAATAAAATAGTCCATGGATTGATAAGGTGGCAAAAATGATCACATGAGTCAACATTCTTTCAAACCTTGAGGAGATAATTTGATGAAAGGAGAGAGAAAACTGCATCATTTATCAAATATGTTCTGCAAATCTTAGATAGCCGCTGCTGATTTTATTTCCATACATTGATAAATGCTTTTAACCTCAATATAGCATCTGTAGGCTACATAATCATTCCATTTCTGAGACTTAGGCCCCAGCTAAGCCATACGTTTGCTGATACGGGAGTTAACCAAGTAATCATAGGAAAACCAAGCCATACGTTTGTTGATACGGGAGTTAACCAAGTAATCATAGGAAAACCAAATTTTATTGTTGAATTCAAATCAGCAATTACAACTACAGAAGCAGAAATAAGAAATAGCATTGGACACGTCATGAAACACGTGACTAGGGCGAATCTAAGGTGATGGTGGGAGCGTGGAAGGGCGGTGGCAAGATGTGGAAATTGAGCAAGTGGCGGTATGGCTGGCAGTTGCTTGCTGTCCTGGCAACAGCAAGCAGGAAGAGGCGGCTGGACAGCAGCAGAAAAACAGTGGCGACATGCTGTCCCAGGACGACAAGAAGTAGGGAGGGCGGTTGGAACAGCAGCAAGGCTATAGGAAGGCGGTTCTGGGTGGCTGCAACTGCAGCAAATCTGCCGGACTGGGTTTTTGGGCAGTTGGAACATCAGCAAGGCTGCGGGGAGGCGGTTTTGAGTGGCGGCAGTGAGGAAGGGTTGGTTGGGAGCAATGCAGGGAGGACAGGGAAGGGAGGAGCTCCTGGAAATGGGAAAACTGCAGGGAAAACAACAAAGAAAGCTGTTTGGAGGTGGCTGCAACAAGTTCGGGCGACGGGGAGCAATGTGTAAAGGATGGGAAAGGGTAGAGGGATGGCTAATAACCACTTTGGGTGTGAGATACAGTCAGAGCAACACTCGACCTTGATACAACCGTAAACGGGAAAACAAAGACGTCAACGGCTGTCCAGAACAAACACACGACAAAAACTAACCGTGGACTCTTATGGAAGCAAATTTATAATATTAGGATAATTACGAGTGTACCCAAGGGACCGGCTGACACCAAAGCAAGGAAAGACCAAATCGAGTTGGTCCAGGTTAGCAGGCGGAACGCTTGCTTCGCATGTGGGACACCCCGAGTCACGAGTAAGTATTAGGGTCTCTACAATAGTTGTATCCTTTTAGGATTGATCATCCAAAACCCAGTCGGTAACACATGCAATGTTTTGCTTAGCAAATTGTATCCAACTAACTCGGCCACATTACTGCTAGGCTTGGTGACAACTAAAGTCAGCTATGCAGGACACCCAATAAACTAGCTGAGTTAATTCTATGGGCTTGAAAACTTTCCTACTCGGCTCTACCATAGTACATTTCATCTCTCACAAGTAAGCATGATCGAGCCAATTGAATTTTGAGTGAGGAAGATGGTTAAATGGGTCGACACTTATTACTCGGTTTTCAAGCATCCAAGAACATGTGTCATACTAGCTCATATGAAATTAACTCCTCATAGTAAAAGTTGCTCAGAGAGTAAAAATAACTGTCCTACCACTCAATTTTTAAGGAAGCTATATTCTCTTGTTTAAATATTTAGGGTTGGTTATAAATAGATTTTTCACTGCATAGCTTCTAGAGGTCTGTCTTGCCTTGTCATATTAAACATTTAATATACTCTATGACATGATATTTAATGTTGTATTTTTTTTGAGCAGGATGAGCCCTTTAACCCAACACTTGAGATTCTTTACTTTATTTTCAAGTAATGTGCTATGAATTTGAGCACATTTGACACTGCATTTGATTTTTCATTTTTAATTTTATTAAGAAATTTGAACTTGAAAACCTCTTGGCACATCTTGAATAGATGCTAGGCATATATTACACAAACTCTCTCACTTTTATGGTGAAATTTATCATTTGGAAATCCCGTCACATAAACCACAATTATGATTTTTAGAAGCAAGTGAATTCTGAAAGAAGATATTCTTTTTTTCATTAACTCAATCTATGTATGTTTGAAATGTTGTTTTACTGCTACTATATTTTTCTAGATTTGCCATGTCCTATATTCATGTGATATTGTGTTTGTGTCTATTTTTCATGCTCGTGCATCATTGGTGATGATAGTATTTTGGTAATTTTCTAAAAGCTGATTTGCTGGCTAGATTGTTCTATTAGCAGCAGTATTTTTTTTCCCCCTAACCTTAAGAGATATTTTTGCTGGCGCTTATGTGTCGATATACCCTTCAAAAACAGTCTAGAAATATATTAGAAATTTAATGTTTCCTTTTTTCATTTCTACGACTTATGATGAAATGTCAGGAAATGTATTAAAAAAAGAACTGAGCAAAAGTTGAGAAGAAACGCACAGTAAAATCATGCTGTCCAATGAAAATGTTTGAGATAAGTTGCTTGCTACCAGAGCCGGGTTGAATATATAAAACACAACCTGCTTGTAAACAGAATAGCAACCTTAGAATTCAAGGATTGAAAGGCATATATTTCTATAAAAATGTTAGTAATAATACAGACGATGCTATTTTCATGGTCAGTTTATTTAACTTTATAGAACCTGCTTGTAAACACCTCAAATGCGAAGAGAATGTTAGCTAAATTAAAAATATGAATGTTGTGTTAGTGTTGAGTTTAGTCTTATATCAAATAGTTGAAAATATGATGGCATAGAAATTATAAGTGATCTGCCCTTCTCAACTAGCTTAAGATTTTGACTAATGATGTGACTAAACTAACTTCGAGCCCCTTTGGTTCGTATTCTCTTGAAAGTGTTGTCAAAGCTGATGATTTAGTTGGGATTGAGGGGGTTACTGAGATTTGTAGCTCCTAGTTAGCGTGCTTCTAACTAGTTGAGCAAGTTTCAATAACAAGTGATTTCCATAACGACTCCATGTGGCTGTGTTGGTTCTTAATTTTATGATATTTTATGATCTTAAAATGCTTTTGTTTTTGAGTGAAGAGGTCTAACGAGATAAGGAGATTATTGAGGCATGTGAGAATATTTAGTCCTATATTATAGAATAAAAATATTTTGATGTGAAAGTATCAAGTGAGTGGTCTTTTCCTCCACGATTGATGTTTTGGGTTTGAAGATTTTAACTATTGGCTCATCGGACTTAACTTTCATACCATTTTAGTTGACACTCTCGAACAATAATTATTAAGTTTTCTTCAAAAAGGCTTATGGAAGATGTTGATGAGGATTTAGTGTGATCAAACGGATAATGCTTTTTTTCTCTTCGATTTGATGCCAGCCATCACGACTATTCTTGTGATGTTGCATTGTGATGCATGTCACATTTGATGTAACAACCCAATGATACTGGAGTTTAACCCAAACCATGATGCATGATACAATTTTACTAACGACTTAAACAAGGTTATAATGAAGACTTAAAAGAAGAAAAGATAACACACAAAGCCAAAGCATAAAATAAAGAATTACAAATAAAGACTCGACAAAAGGAGACACAACAAGCTTACGAGGAGGAAATCCAAAGAGGTGGTGCTAGATCGGTGGCTGCGGTGAAGGCCGGAGAGATGTTGGACGGTTGTTGAAGAGTAGGACAACAAGTTAGCGATCGTCAAGGCGTCAAACCATAACTAGAAAGACCAACTAGGGCTGCGGTAGGGAGGGGCTGGAAGGAGCAGTGGATGGTACAACTTGCAGGGAAGTTGTAGGAAGGCAACATGATTGCTGCGACTTGCAATGGAGCTGCAGGGAAGAGCTGGAAGGAGCAGTTGGAGATGCGACCTGCAAGGGAGCTGCAGGAAAGGAGACTGCTGGTGGTTAAAGGGCTGCGACAGCCTGCTAGAAGAGGAGGGGTGGTAGCCTGATGGTGGCTAAAGGGTTGTGGCAATCTGCAGGAAGAATAGGGGCAGGTCGTCCTGCCATAGAGCTGGGGAGCGGGTGAACAACAACGAGAAGAGTGGACAGATGGATAAATATCTCGACGAGATCGAGCTACAACTGGAGAACCACCCGGACCCGTTGATACAATCACCACCTCGGACGAGGGACAACTGGAGCACTACCTCGACGTCGGATACGACCCTCGAAGGGAAAATACTAAGGCTCAAACTTGAATTGAGATATCAAAACAAGATTCCCCACCTTAAGCACATCATCTCTTATTTATAAAAGATGCTAGACTTATCTTAGGGAATGAAAATAAGAAAGAAGAATAAAATATAGTGATGTTTTTAGATATTAGGAAATGATTTAAATTAGGAAAGGTTTTAAAATAAGAAGGGAGAAAAATATCTAATAACGATTTCATATTTTAGGAAATGATTTAAAATATGAAAGTGTTAGGAAGAAAAGTAAGAAAAGAAGGGAAGGAAAAATGAAAGGAGGAAAAATGGAAAGGAGGGAAAAAGGAAAGCAAGGAAGAGGAAGGAGGGGGCAGAGCCTACCTTCCTTGAGGAATGGTTGGTCCTCTCCCGAGCTCCGCGTCAGTCTCCTGGGGTTTGTGGAGCTTCGACCTCACCTGTTGAAACTTCCGGTCCATTGTCTTTAATCATGACAGCACCTGAATCCTACTGTCGACTGTACTGCTTCCTAACACACTTACGAGCGCACCTCCATCTTGGTCCGATCTATTGGGACTAAAATCTCTTGCATGGTGGTGGCCATGGTGGTAGAGAATGGGTTTTCACTAAAATTGGTCTCACTGCTTTGCTAGTAAGGGCTCCTGTCTCATCGGGCTCTGCCGAGGAAAGTAGAATGAGGCTTTTGCCGTTCTTTTGTGAAGGAATACGTGTTTCCGAATCCATTGTGTTGAGTTTTTCAGTCAAATAGACAGTCTTCCTAGCAGAATGTGGCAGACATCCATGAGGAACACATCACACCATGCCTGATTCTGCAGCTAACTCCCTATTGAAAACTCTATTAGGCATTGTTGGTTGATACTAACCCTGTTTTTGTTCTCCAACCACTTCAGTGAATATGGTTAAGAATACCTCTGAGTCGTCTGTCCCAATTTCTCTACCATCTGGGTCGAGGCCACATTCGTTCTGCTACCCCCGTTGATGATAAGACTATATACCTTTACGTTCACTGTGCAGTGAGTGTGGAAAATGTTGTGGCAAAGCCACTGCGGACTCCTTGTGTCATCGGTCTGCAGAATCTATCGAATAACAAGTGCTTCTTCCTCATTTGGTGAAAGCTGATGCTCTTCACACTATTCCTGAGTTTCTTGCTCCTCGCTAACCTCTTCCACGACACCCTGCTCGGTAAAAGGTACAATTCTGCTCGTCGGGCAGCTGGAGGCCATGTGCCCAGATCAATGGCATCTAAAGCGTTTTCTGGCAGGCACAGTAGTCGGTTTCTTCTCACTAGGGGTGGCTTTCTTCGTATCCAAACCAATTTTCTCTAATTTTTTGTGGCGCATTTTTGTTGGTGTCTCCAACTGTGGGTAGTTGCCTAGCTAGTGGTGGTTGTCGACTCTGCTTCTGCTGTCATTCTACTTTCAATGCTAGTGTCTGGATCACATTGCTAATATTAGACTTCAAGCCCCCAATACATCTGGCTACTGTATTTTCCTCTAGCTCTGTTAGGTCGCACTTTAGCTGTAAGTGGTTGAACTGAATTGTGAACATTTCCACTGAAAGGTCTCTTTGCTGCAAATTGTGGAGTTTCAAAAACATGGGGAAAATTTTTCTTATGCATTGTTTTTTTTATCTTCTCCCACTTGGTAATCTTTTCGCTGCCTTTGCACTTCCTCTGTCGTTGTACATTCTCTCATCATAAGGAGACACTTTTCTTCAAATTGATAACAACTAATTTGACTCGGCTCTCTTTGGGCACCTCTTTGTATTTGAATATCTGCTTAACTGCCTGTAGCCATTCGATACATCCATCCATCCATGCTCCCCTCAAACTCGGGCAAATCTACCTTAATCTTGTGGTTTTGGTGCCCTCCAAATGACATCTCTTCTCAGAAAGTTTCCCTGTGGGAGGGACATAAGTATTCCTCTTTAGGCTTCATCTGATATTGAATTCTGAAACGCAGTGGTCTGTCTTCTTCATCGCTGAAACTGTCCCTATGGAAGGGATTCAAATCCTCTTCTCTCTCTCTCCTTAGACTCTCCAGGTCTCGATTGAAGGTAACTTCTTCCCGTGCCATCTCTTCATTCTCTGCAATTCTTTGTTGGAGGCGACAGAGTTCTCACCGTATCTCTTCTTGGGTAGGCTCCTCAAGGAGAAATATGTCGGAGAGATGTTGGACGACTGGGGCTGCAGTAGGGTGTGGCTGGATCGGAAAACTTGCAAAGAAGCTGGAGGAAGGCGACGTGATGGTTGTGGCCTGCAGGGGAGCTCCAGGGAAGAGCTAGAAGGAGCAGTTGGAGGTGCGACCTGCAGGGGAGCTGCAGGTGGCTGAAGGGTCGCGACAACCTGTTGGAAGTGGAGGGGCGATGACCTATTGATGGCTGAAGGGTTGTGGCACCATACAGGAAGAGTAGGGTGCAGCGCTGGCCTGCCATAGGGCTGGAGAGCGGGTGGACAACAACGAGAAGGGTGGAAGGATGGATAAATATCTTAGCGGGGTCGAGCTACAGCCAAAGCACAATTCAGTTCCGTGGAGATGATTACCACCTCTGACAAGGGACAGCCGAATCATTACCTCGATGTTGGATACAATCCTCGAAGGGAAAATACTAAGGCTCAAATTTAATTTTGGATATAAAAAACAAGACCCCTCATTGTAAGCACATCATCCCTTATTTATAAAAGAGGCTAGACTTATTTTTGGTAATGAAAATAAGAATAAAGAGTAAAATATAATCAGGTTTTCAAATTTTAGGAAATGATTTAAAATAAGAAAGATTTTAAAATAAAAAGGGAGAATAAGATCTAATCGGGATTTTCAGATTTTAGGAAATGATCTAAAATATGAATTTGTTAGGAAGGAAATATAAAAAGATGGAAAGGAAGGAGAAATGAAAGGAGGAAAAAGGGAAAGGAGGGAAAAAGGAAGGAGGGAAGAGGGAGGGGGCGACAACCTCCCTTCCTCGAGGATCGACTGGTCCTCTACCGAGCCCCGCGTCACCCAAACTCTCATCCATTGAGCTTTGCTCGCTTTAGCTTAATGGCCTCATGGTTTTGTCCCATTTGTATAACTTTCTAGGAGTCCACCATAACAGGACTGCCCTCACACGAGCATGCTTAACTTTAGAGTTTCTGATGAAATTTCAACCATTACATCAAAATGTGTCTCGATGATTAATAATTCAACTTTATTCTACTAAAGGGGTTTCACAATCGCCCCTACTTAAGCAACGACGTCCTGTCAGTGCTCTTAACCCAGAATCATCCACTAGGCAGATATTTCTATCATCAGACTCGTGTATTACTCTGACACCATTTGTAATAGCCCAAACTCTCATCTATCGGGATATTGTTCGCTTTGGCCTAATGGCTTCACGGTTTTGCCCCATTGATATAAGTTTTAAAGTCACATTTCCTAGGACTACTCTTGCATGAAAACACTTACCTTTGGAATTTCTAATGGAATTTTTGACCATTATACCAAAAAGAGCCTTGATGTTTAAAAGTTCAGCTTCATTCTATTGTAGGGGTTTCACATACGAGAATCTCATCTCAAAGTCTCTCTACTTAGGAGTTGGAATGAGGTGGAAATCAATGTGGTCTCAATTTGAGTGCAAAGACTCAAGTGGTTCAACTAAACGGGATCTCTTTCTAAGGTTTTTATTACAAATCTTATTGAACTTTCCATTTACATGCTCTCTCAGTGGCTATGGTTTCTTATAGAATTGTGGCATCAAAGGTGCGGCAAGAATATCTTGCTGCATGGTAATCTTTATTTTGAGATTTCTTCGATTTTTTTTAATACAGTGTGGGTGTGTGCAGGATGTCAGACGGATTGATGGGCTTGCTGTATTCATTATTTATAGTTTTTCATGGTATATTAGATTCTATGTTCTCTTTTATGCAGGGTGTGTATGATCCAGTTTGATTCTAAATCAACCCATATGTCAAACTAAAAAAACCCGAAGTTACCAAACATAAATTAAAACCCCATTGTCATCATGACAAACACGACTGCACTAGCTAGTTTGGTTCGATTTCAATCTGATTCTCAATTCAAGAACTAAAATCTTTAGGAATTGATTTTTTAGATTTTGATTTTCTATTTGGTTTACAACGCCTTTTAATGGTTTTCAATATATTGGGATTGATTGGTTTTGATTATTTTTTTCTAAATTTATGGATCATCAAGGTTTGCTTTAAATTTCTTTCTTTTGATTCCATTTTAATTGACTACTATGTAATATAAATTAGTTACGTAATTTATAATTATATTTATTATTTAAAATTAGTTTATTTTAGTTTGTATAATTATATTTATACCGAACTTTAGTGACGCTCAAGATCATGGTTAGGGCAATTCAAGATGCAGAGCTGAGATTCTTGATTGAGTTGCATATCATGGAAGAGACACTTGATAAGGAGTTGACAGAGATTCTGGTGATCGATGAGTTACTGGATGGTTTTTGGGGCTGCGGTATTCTCTAAGTTTGACTGAAAATCAAGACACCTGTAGGTTCAGAGCAGCTGAATGATCTGTACAAGATGACATTTCTAACTTATGAGTCTCATTACAAATTTCATATTAAATGGAAAGGATTGTCAGATGATTATGCCTGATGGGAGCTATGCAACTTGATCCATCAACATTTTCTTTTTTTCCACTTTGAGGTGTCATTTTGGGAGGAAAGTAATGTTAGACCGATGTCTAAGGGTTTAGTCTTTTATTAGTTATTATTGTGAGGTATAAATAGGGTTTATTATGCTTAGGGTTAGATTATGCTATGAGATTGTTGCCTTGATTCTTACTGTTAGGGTTTGGTAGAGATCTCCTACCTCTCAAATTGTATTGGGAGAGATCGCCTACCTCTTGAATTGTAGGTGTTTATCTTTTATGCATTGTGTTGTGTTGTGTTGTTTGATGTGGTGAAATAAAATATTTTGTTTGTCCTAATTTCTGTGGAAAATTCTTCTGATTCGTATTACATTGCAGGCCTCACTACCAACATATAAAATTTTTCTTAAAGTCAAGTGGTACTTTTCTATCACACAATAGGCCTGATGCATCCTCCACTTCAACCATCCAACTTTAATACTACTAATAATATCTCCATCTATTTCACCATCACTTTGAACAGTAGATCTAAGATATCAAAAACATTTACCAAAAGAAATATCTCCATCTATTTCACCATCACTTTGAACAATAGATCTAAGATATCAAAAACATTTACCAAAAGAAAATTCGAAGCCTTATGCAAACTTAAAAAGGAATGAATGCAGAATGTGGATTTATAAAGCTAACCCAAAATAGTTGGATAAGGATAACAATGCAAATAATGGATTTGGGGATCGGCTCAAATATTTAATAAGGAAGAAACCCATGACACATGGGTGTAGGGGTCCTTCGAGGGTTTGCAAGGATCACAATGCTCTTCGAACAAGTTCCATACATCAAATCTAAAATGTATAGCTACGAACTTAGTTATTTAAAAGTATATGTATAAACCATGAATGTTCCCATTTCATAACTAACAACTTTGATTCATTTATTTGCCGACAAAGCTAATTCCATCGTTTATCATACCACAATAAGCTTCTCCTCCATGCAAAAAATGGTAATATCATATAGCTCAGTATTAATCTTGGTGAAAATGAATTTTTGCTTGATGAATGACTAACTTTATAAAAGAATTGGATTAAAAAGGCTCTAGCCATTGTAGATTAATATTGCCAGGATGGACCTTTAACATGAATAAGCTCTTCTGTGTGTATGTTTTGGCATGAAATTCCTTTGCACAAGTAAATCAAAATTTAAAATGACAAAACAATAATTACAAATATCCAAATAGAAAAGAAAACAAATCAGAAAGAACCATGCAAGCAATGACTTACATTGTTCAAATGCTTCCTTGTGTCTTGGCAAAGAATGCCAACACGGTTTGTTGCGTAAATTGATCCAACGGCAGTCAGCAAAAGCACATTCATGACTGGCATAGATGCAGTAACGAAAATATCCCACAGACCCATTGATTCTCTGTATTTTAATTTTTCCTCTGCATAGAATGAAAATACATTTTTTATTAGATACAGAAATGCAATTCCATTGTTAAAGAAAACTTTATGTTGGTTACTAGACCATTCCCTTTTGAACTAGGATTAAAGATTTTCTATACAACAACAACAACAAAGCCTTAATCCTACTATGTGGGGTCAGTTAAATGAATTATTTTTCTCCATTGTGTCCTATTTAGTATCATATTTTCATCTAGTTCTAGTAAATTAAAATAATTTTTTATACAATAAGCCCAAGTCTTCCTAGGCCTACCTCTGTCTTTCTTAACACAAGTCAAATCTAAAACATTTACTCTCCTATTCGGATCATCAGATGGTCGACGTTTAATGTGACCAAACCATCTAAAACGACTTTCTCTAATTTTAATCCGTCACAGGAGCTACACCAACCCTATCACGGATATATTCATTTCGCATTTTGTCTTTAAGTGTAAAGCCACTCATCCACCTAATCATTCTCATCTCAGCAACACTTAACTTATTATTATGCTTCTCTTTTAAAGGCCAACATTCAGCGCCATAGAGCGTTGAAGGTCTCACCACCGTCTTATAAAATTTTCCTTTCAGTCTAAGCGGTACTTTTCTATCACACAAAAGGCCCGAAACATTCCTCCACTTCAACCAACCAACTTGAATTCTACTATTAACATCCCCATCTATATCACCATCACTTTGAACAACGGACCCAAGATATCTAAATTGTTCACACCTTTTAATAATTTGATTACCCAAAGTCAAACTTCTATCACTAGCGCTACTACTGCTAAAATTATATTCCATGTATTCAGTTTTAGTTCTACTTAAATGAAGGTCTTTAGACTCCAATGTAGACAGTTTTTCCTGGGCTTTTTCTCTCGTTTTATCCACGAGAAGAATATCATCAGCAAAAAGCATACACCAAGGTACACCCTCTTGTAGATGTCCAGTAAGACCATCCATAACTAAAGCAAAAAGATATGGGCTTAAAGCCGATCCCTGATGTATTCTATAATTCAAATAATTTAGAAGCCACGAAATTCCCTCTTTACCTTCTCTCTCCCCCCTTCTTCTCTCTTCACTAGCTTCTCCTCTCTTTCCTACCCAAGCATATCAAGGAAGGGTGAGTTGAACCATCGCAACACGAAGGGGGTGTTTGGCTGCCTATAAGATTCAGGTTAAATCCAGAATAATGTTTCCTATTGTATAAATCCATCGTTTATCAATAAGGGGGTGTTTGCTGACAAAGCTAATTCCATCATTATCATACCACGATATGCTTCTCCTCTCGTTCCTACACAAGCATTCCGGAATCATCAAATCCAAATTTTGTAAATCCAGAATAATGTTTGGTTCAATTTAAGGTTAAATCCATTAAATTAGTTTATTGTGTTTTGTATAAATTCACTATTGTGAATCTTTTTCCTAAGCTAGATCCGTTAAATCCATGTAATAACCAAATTTAATAAATCTGAATTTACGTTAAAAAGTAACGTAAGAGAAGGATAATTGGATTTTGTGAAGTACGGATAAATTCTCTATTTTTTTTTACTTGGTTGGATTTACGTTAAATAGTGTTGTAAATGCAGCTCAAATCCAGCTACAAAACACCCCCAAAGGGCAGGGAAAGGAAATGAACTAGAATAATAATAATAAGAAAAAGAAAGAAAGAATTAAGGGAGAAAAAAAAACTAACATAGCCTTATATTAAGGAGGAAGCATAAGGTTAGTAAGTCTAGTGCTTTCAAATTTTATTTTGCAATCCTCATATTCATTTTTTTAGTTTATTACAATGAATTATTAGCAAAATGTTAATTGATTAACAATTCATTATCAATTTTCTTTAAGGCTCAACAAAATGGAAAAGGAGATCAATTTCTCATACTTTTGGATTTATAACTATAATATCAATTCACAAAGAGCATAGCCAACTGCTTAATAGGATGAATAAGGCATTAAAATGAACAAATTCTACAGAATTTTATTTTTCTGAGGTTAAAGACATTCAGGTTTAGTTTACATTCATCCTGAAAAGATCAAAAATATGAAATTTGAAGGCACTGCACCAATTATGAAAACTGTGGGTGCTGAATATCTTCTAAGTGAGCAATATGTTCGATCATTTCTCTGTTCATTGTTGAGAACTATTTTCATATTGTAAATTTGTTTTAAAATAGCTCTAAAATCCTTTTCAAAATTCATGAATTTCATTCATTTGACTTTCATCCAAGCATAGTCCTGCAGCACCAGTTAATGTGAAATCCTATCATCAACTGCACCAAGCAGACATAAATGTAAGAGCTCAAAATGCTTCTTTTTGTAGTTTTTCCACCTTTTTTCTCATTAATTTCTCTGTTTAATGGCTTTCTGCTTACTATTTCACAGTTATATTTGTCCATGAATAAACTGAATCAACCAAAGAAGAAGAAGAAGAAGAAGAAGAAAACTTGATTAACCAAAGAAGAAGAAGAAGAAGAAGAAGAAAACTTGCCTTAGAAGATCTTCCTGTGCTGCAGTGAGATTTGCTTCTTCTCATGGGGCAGGAAACTGCAGATATCCAATGAATGAAGGTAAAACTTATCCCCTGGTTAATAGATTAAAGGAAGATTTACATGCACACCACTTAATTCATGTGTATTTACATATCTATCACCTAAACTTCAACTTTTACTTGTATGCATCCTTATGAAATGTGTATTTCACTTTTAAAAAATTAAAATAGTGCTATTTTGATGTGATGTGAAAGATTTGTGTGGTTGTGGTATAAATATAAAAAGTAAAAAATATAAAAAGTAAAGTTTAGGTGTTAGATATGACAATACATAAGAATTAGATGGTATGTATGTAATTCAATTTATTTGAGTTTTTGGCCGGATTAGTTTTGATAAGTTCAGGATGATTTCATTTGAAATTAGACCAAAACCGAGCATGTAAGCTCTTATTCTATTAATAATGCCTAAAATATGAAAAAAATGTTCTTATTTGGCCCCATTTTCTTACCCATAAATGACCAAGTTCATGTTGTTTAGTGAGCTTAAAAGTTATTTGAAGCTTTATTTTTTAGTCTGTCTTTTGCATGTCTTAAACTTACAACTTATCTTATTCATAATTTTCATATTGGCGCAATCACATAGAACGTCTTAAACTTAGAACTTATTTTATTCATAATTTTCATATTGGCGCAATCACATAGACCACCCAAAACTTCATATTTACAAATCTACCGTCCTCGTTCATCCATTTTTCAATTTCTCACTCAAATATCAAAATTCATGGTAAAACCCCAACCACCCTTGTTTGATTGTGGCACGTGTAAGTACATCGGTTCCGTAGTTACAAAAAATCGCCGAGGGGGGTTGATTTGTAAATATCAATATTTCGGGTGTTCTGTATATAATTGCCCCTTTATATTTGCTTGTTATATAAATAGCTGGTTAGGTTGGTTTTGGCTAAATCATCATAGAACAAATAATTGTGGAGATAATATAATTAAGAAACTTAGTGGGTTTCTTCTATGGTATCCCTATGCAAGTGTAGCAGCGTACACACAGAATCCAAAGAGCTTTTCAATAGAATGTACCTCATGTGCATTTTAGTGAGCTTCTGGTGTAGCTTGTGTTGAGAATCATTAAAGAGTGGTTTTATTTATTTATTATTTTTTTTATGTTTTTTATAAATTGTTAAGTTGATTCCTTTTAAATATGTACTGCGACAATATTCTTTTGGGTTTTCATATCTAACACCCATGGTTTGATATTTGCATCAAGACTTCAATCTGGGCCTGTCACGTGTACAAGTAGTCCCACCAATATATTGAAATAATTTTTTTTACTAAGGTGGGTTTGTCTTGTACATGACAAACTCTGATTGACATCCTGCAAAACTGCATCAGGACTCCTGATGCAATGTTTTTTGATTATTTGTGCATGAAAAGATGTATGCCTCTTATGTTTGATGTAAAGTTAAAGATTTGAGTGGTATACATATAAATATGGATGCTTAGGTGTTAGATATATAAAATGCATAAGAATTAAGTGGTATGACTCTAAATGCTTCCTCTTTTATTTATTTAACAGCCATAGTATGCTTAATTTTCTTAGAAAGACCCACCTCACAGGCTATGCCATAGCTTCTTTTATTTTATTATTTATTTATTTATTTATTTATTTATTATTATTATTATTATTTGCTTGATGTGAAAAGTTGTGGACAACATATGTGCTGAAATTTTTTATTTTGAAATCAGATACTACATTGAGAATAGTATATCATCTTGAAAGGAAAGCATACGAAATTATTCGGCAATGGATGTCATCATAAAACAACTATGTCAAGGCTCGGGGTTTACATTGCCATATATTAGGATTTAATTTAGCTTGGGTTACTCATTTTATTATACATTTAAGACTTATAACCCTACAACGCAAAATTGAGTAAAAAGACCAAAAAAAGATAACTTATGTCGTAGTAGGGTGAAACTACAACCTCATATCCTAAAATTAAGATGAGTGCTACTGCCGAGGTAGTGGACTCGAGCCTGGTCTATTGATTTGCAATGAGACTTTTAAATTTCAAGCCCACTCGAGAATGAAATAAGCACGACTCTATTGAATGTATAACACGCCTAGAAGGTTTGGTCACATGTTGATGTAGGGTAGGCAAGGTTTTACTCAATTTGGAGGATTCAATGATATGATTTATTTTTTAATTACTTTTAGTGAGAAAACTTGAACTTTTAAGTTGGGAATAGAAATAGTAACCTTAAACATAGAAAACATTTATTGACCAAATGTTGCATTGTATATTGAATCAATGTCTATATCCATAAGTAAATTAAAAGACTTGATTATAAATGTGATTTGAAATATTATTGTGCTAAAAATATATAAAACATAGGATTAATGTTCAATGTGGGTTAATCTAAAGATTAATGTGTGCAATTAGGAGTAAAACATCCACTGAATTACATATATCAATCAAATTTTGATAATATTTATATTAGATGTCTCAATTCTAGCTGATATGATTATAGAATTTGCTATGGATTATATGTTCCATTTAAGTTAGAGTTATTACAAGTGATTTGATTTTTCATGAGCATATCTTCTTATATACAAAGATGGGAAAGTTATGGTGGCATTTTTATGATAATTTCAATGACTATAATATATATTTTTTCCTATAAATCTAATGATCTATTTTATTATGTGACTAATGATCTATAGTTTATATTTTTGAATAACATCCTATATGTTCTTGGCACATCTTGAATCTACTATTTTAAAATGAATATGAGGTAAGTGTTTGTTAATTCTCTAATTTATAATAAATTGCTCAATGTAAAGCTTTACAAGATTTTCAAGAATATAAGGAATTAACCAAAGCATGATGGGGAGGATTTGGTAAATGAATTCATCATAAGCTAATGAATATGCATGATGGTTTTATGATGATCAATACATATGTAAGAATCAAAGGATTCTTAAGAGGTAACTTGAATCTCATTGGGATGAATTGCTGAGGAATAACATTAGTAGAAGGTAAAGATTCGTAGAAGCTATGATGAAAAATAATTTGTTTGTTTTTTTATTTGATGATATTTTTATTGAATGAGACATCAGAAGAATGAAATAACAATATGATGGACTTTATCAGGTTATGATAAAAGTGTTTATTAATTAAATTGCTATAAAGAATAAAAGATTTGAGCATGCTGCTTTTTCCACATTGCAAAAATTATTCTCTAAAGTTAGGTGTGAGTAGCATTCGCTGGTTGAATTATGTTGTCATTAAATAAGTGATTAGATATTAGCCACACCTGAAACTACACAACCCGTACGCCAAAGCCAATCACATCTTGTAAAATGAGTGACAAACATCACCTACTATTTAGTTAGAATGAGTTCTATGCTTATCATTTTTATATAAATAAATTGCTACTAATATCATCTAAACTTTATAAAATAGAAATAATCAACATCCATTCAAAACATATCACGAACCATACAATCAAAATATTTATATATAAAAATCACGATAAATGTGTTTTAGCCCATCACAAAATAATTCACAATGATTGTAAAAATATAACTACATAGATAAAAACCGTACGATCAAAAGATTTATATATAAAAATTACGATAAATGTGTTTTAGCCCATCACAAAATATTTCACAATGATTGTAAAAATATAACTACATAGATAAGAAAAAACATATCAATAAATAATTACCTACATCATCTACCTCAAACCAACCTAACATCAACCATTAGGAGATTACACAACACATATCCTAATCATTCAATATACAATAAAAAAAAAATAGTATGTATGATGTTTTTATTGTCACATTGGGAAGAGTAAAACATATTAAAATTAAGAAAGTTTTACAATAGCATTATGATACTAAATATAGAGACTTAACAAGTTAATTATTTATTATATTATTTTTAGTGTGTCAACATAAAATTTTGTAATGGAAGTATGTCATGTATTATAGTATAAACTTTACATTTGAATATAATAGTACACCAGAACAAGATAATTAATATATATATATATATATATATATATAT